TTTCATAAATTCAAAAAATATCCCATAACTCCATTATGTTTGTCTTTATATTAATTTTATTTATTTCCATAAAATTTTAGGAACTACAAAACTGTAAGGTTTGAAGTGTTTGTTGTATAATATTGTAATAGGTAATGTGATAACATTTGTGATATAGAAATAAGTCTTGACAATAAGAGTATTTTATGTATGCAAATGTGTAAAAATGTGAATATATGTTGTTTTTATTATTAAATGTTTATAGAGATTAAATGATTATATTTACTTCTCTATTAACTAGTCTTTTAATGGCCTTAACCATTTACTCCTTTAAACAATGTACTAGTCTTAGGGTCGTTTAGTGGTCACAGCTGGGCTTCAGTCTTGGTGTCCTTGGTTCAAATCCTGCCAATCACCAAAGGGTTTTATATATGTGATAATATTAATAAATAATACACCATAGTATATGATATAATATACCGTGGCCCAGCGGTTATGAGTCAAAGGCTGTAAAACAGTTTATCTACTAGTCAAAAAAGGTCTCTCACACGGAAAAAATTTCTGGAATAAAACTCCCAAAAAGCTATACCCAATACAATGGCTATCAAGAGTAACATAACCACACTTTCTTTCACTTACAAGTTACAATCATCAATAAAGCCGTGTTTACACACAGCCAGTAGGAAGGCACGTTACCTGCCTCTAGTGTATTTAAAATCACTTGAGACAGGTAACGTGCCCGCAACTGGCTTTGAGTAAAGGCACCTTAGAATTTAACTTAAACTAAACTGCTTGATTCTATCAACTGACATGTGCTGTAATATGGTCGTCAAATGAAGATTGATTTAGGTTGGTCATTGTTAGTATGAGAGATCATTTGGTATCATCAACGGTGTTGTGTCTTCCAGGAAACAGCACTGTAGATTAGGATTCAAACCCTTTCTCTGTCAGGTTTAGTGTTCAATTCATGATGAGTTCACCCATCTGTGGTAGAATTGGTGAGAGAGGTCTACCTAAATTAAAGGTTCAGGTGGTTTCCTTTGTGGACCTCTTATAAATCAAAGAAAAATACACAGGGCTCAAAAGTTTACCTTAGGATCTTAAAGGTTGAGCAAAGGTAGTTAATATATTACTAAAATAAAATAATATTTTTGACATTTTACACATACATTTTGTTATCTGTCAACAGAATCTTTATTTCTCGCATCAAAGTAAGAACACACATCAGCTTGGTCAATAAGTGTCATTAGGCTTGGTAACAATGCATTCTCAATCACCGGAACTACTTTGGTGATGAAATGTCCATAAAGTAAAGTTTTTAGTTTCTGATACAATCCTTCAGTCCCACTCAACCCTTCCACTGTTAATGACATAGACTTATCAGATATACAATTGAAGTTGACCCGTTTAACGCTACAATCACTGTTGTCGTAGCTCGTCGACAACTCTATCACTAGTTGAAAAGCATTGTTGGTGAAAATGAACGAACATCCTCCTAGATACGATGAATCCTCACTGTAAAAGTCATAGCTTTCCTTCAACACTTGAAACTGAAGTTTCTGTACGATAACTATCTTTGTGTCTGTATCCTCGGATATAAAAGCGTTCCCGACTCTCTTCAAGGAGTCTAACCGTGACACAAATGGGTTTCTTCCAAACACCTTGTTTTCGGTTTCATTGTTGCTGTCTTCGAAATAAGTTAAATTCAGGTATTCGTCTGTTAGAGAGAGTGTTTTTTTATCTTCCAAGGTCACAAGCAAGGAGAGTTTTCTAAATATTTTGTCCATCGCTCGATTTAACGTTTTAGTCAAAGGAAACACTCGGTCCACAGTTAACATCTCGCTGGTGTCCAAGTTGCGCTCGCTGCTGTCACTGTCAAAGTTGCTGAGGCGGCTGTCGGATATGTCGACTTTCCTGTCGATGTCGCAAGACCTTTTTGCAGATGAGAGATCCTTGGAGGAGTATTTCAAGTGGGGATTTCTAATTATGACAAGCCCCAGATATATTGCTAAATATCCCAAAACAGGCCATTTCACATACTCCAGCATTATCTGTCTGTCTTGTCACTGTAATAAGATTTACAATGTAAATGTACAGCTTCAAATAAGTAAAGTAATATTAATACAGGATTAAAATCAATTGACGATTGATATTAAGAAAAGGTTTGAATACCTGCTATTAGGAAATGGGATCCATTGTAGAAGCAACTAGTTTCAGTCCTATGTAGAGCAATCATCAGGTGGCAAAGAGCATTTGAATTATCTTCACATGAAGATTGTCAAATTTAAAACACACAAAAGTAATCAATAAAAAAATAGACACACACGATGCGCATGGTACATTTAGTAACTGAGTAAACGAATGATGCTAACCCGGCAGAGTTGAGTACAGAACATAACAAAATACTTCTTATGTGTACCGTGTTTTAAATGATACAATCTTCATAAAAAAAGTCCTTGTATCAACTGAATATGGCTCCATGTATTGCGTAATAACAGATATTTAAACCAATTTTAATATTATGTGGCAATCCAGAGGCTAACATCTACAATGATGATTGATCTAGGTTATTTTTGGATATTTTGCTGTTGTATATCATACATTGTATTCTTTTAACGAAATACAATTTTTGAAACTATATTACATGCTTTTGGCATGTCGAATGGTATCTTGGACTTTGGAATTCCCATCATCAGCACTCTATTGTGTTAAACACATTCTAGATATATTTAGATCTATTGTATCTATTATCAGTTACACTATTAAAAAGTTCTTAAAAATGAAAATATATATTAGTGAACATAGTGACTTACCATTAGCTTTTCTTTTTCTGTTTTCTTCTAAAACATCTGCAAAATATTATTCGACAGATAACAATATTTTTTATCGTTTGCTTCATCTATTGCTACCGACGACCCGTCTAGTTGAAAACTTATTGTTTTAAGAAACAATTTCTTAAAAGCATCAATGACCCAACTTGTTTAACAATAACTAACGACTTTTACAAATCAGATTAGTAACATCTTATCACCGCTGTATCTGGTGACAAGTGATGAGCTAATATGTTATGTTACATGGCTTCAACCAAGTAATATTCTTTGGTAATAAACTTCATAATCAACATTGAGATTTATCATCACAGCATACACTGACATATTGGAATCTTTTTTGGAAAAAATCTACGTTTTGTATTGTTAGAAGTAAGGATGGTCATAACTCATAAGACTCATAATAAATGAATTGAGAATGGCTCCTTCTAATTTGACACTTATTGAATTAAAAAAAAAAAAACATGTTTATAAGAAATACATTGTTGGTGTGGTGCTAATAGTATTTTATAATTTTAAGCCAACAAAAAATATTTTGGAATCTTGGAGTGATCAAAATTAATTTAGAGGTTCTTTAAATAAACAAAAGTACTATTTTTTATGAAACACAGGGTTTCATAAACACAGTATACAGAATTTCCTTTTTTCTCCATGAATTAACTACGGTATTAAATAAACACAAAATAGGTTTTTAGGATAAAAAGTCAAACTTGTGGAAAAAGGAATTTATTTCAATTCAATACTGATAAGTCTATATTCTATGAGCAAATAACAAGCGGATAGTCACAACCTTGTTTCTAAGTAAATGAAAATAATCTAATTTTATTTTACAATATGTATATTTTAGTTCATTAAAAATAACTAAAAGCCTTGTTAGTATAACAAATTCGGCATAACATTGTTATCAAGAAGCGATTATCCTAAGTAAACAAGTTATATTAAATTTTAAATATACTTTTAAATTGTAAAAGACATGTTACTTAATTATTATAAAATTGTTACCGGGTTTATGAACAAATAGGCTACAAAGATAAATACAATAAATCGTTAAAAATATCAAAATATAGAAAGCCTATAACTAAATGGCAGTTATGTTATTATTGATATATTTTGATTTGTAAAAAGAACTTCTATTCTTTTGTCCATATCACTTAATTTTGATATGGTAATCTCAAACATTTGTGACAATTCCTGTTTTTTATAATTTTTAAATTAGCTATTTGTTTCAAGGTAGTTACCGTGAAGTTATTTAACCACTTTATGCACAAAAATTAACCCTCCGAGTGTCCCTAGTTTTGGCCTTAATGTCTGCCTATTTTTTGTGCATTTGCAAGATCTGAGAAGCTTAAAAACAATGTTAATTATACTGCCTTTGCCGTAAACAGTGTTTGTGAGTCGAAATTTCGACACAAAACACTACACAAGGTATGTTATGTGTCGAAATTTCGACACATAACATTCTGAGGGTTAAATCTTTGACAGGTAAAACATTTTGTCTTGAGATGTGGTGGTTATATTAATACTGATGACAGTAAGTGTATTTTCTACCCTGTACAGTTAAAGTGATCAATGTAAAAATTCTCGGAACCTTTGCAGAAACATAAATTAAAAAGCATCACTCCTAAAGAATGCAGCAAATTAATAAATTATTTATACATACAAAAATCCATGTTAAATATCACAAAGGACATGACAAACAAAAACTCTTGCAGCTAAAAACACCTTATAAGAAAGTGCTTGTATAAATTTGTTTACTTAGCACGAAGGAATTTTCGCACAATGCTTGCCATTCAGGCTCTTCCTTGGGATTGTATAAAACTTATTAGTTTGATGGACATCGATGGGGATGTAATATTCGGTACTCTACATGTCTCCAACAATCCGGCCCAATAAATGATTACTGGATATTATTAACCGTCGATTTGAAACACACGTAAAAATACCTTCAAGAATCAACATTAAGTTTTAAACGACTCTGCTATTTTACAGTGAGACCAACTTCAAGCCAACAACAAAATACTGAGTAATTTCAATGCATTTATGGTAATCATAGTAATTTAAAGGTATTCCTAAGCTAAGATTGAGCCCAATACAGTTAAGCTAAAACCAAGCTGTGAAACGTAACTTCTTGTAATGTAAGTTAATCCTACTCTTTCCTTCATATAAAGGAGCATAGCAATTTTTTTTTAGAGAAAAAGTACTTTTTCTTTATTTCTCTCAATAGAAAATGTTAATTGAATGTTACTTTGCTAGTGCTAACTTAAAGGTTAGGGTCTCAGACTTTGCTGTTAGAATAACAAGTCGAATTTTCAGAATATTGACAAGAAAATTTGGAGAGTTGGACCAATTCACTTTAAGTGTTTAGTGTTTTCTCTGATAAAATACTTATTTGAAAATATAAAAAAAGGCGAACAGCTTAATTAGGCAAAAGCCAATCAGCTAAGAGATCAACATTTCAACTAGACGTAGGAACCACAGCAAACCCTCCACTAGTGATTCCTTTGTTCGAGTATCCAACTCGGAACGGAATAAAATTGAGTAGCGAACGATGACATTGAGTAGTTACAGTCACAATTTAGAGATTTGACCAAAAATGTACAATTGTGTGCTACACTTAATTAATACCACATACAGACAAAATACCAGTATATGGTACAATACAAACAATCCATGGTTAAAACATTTCTATCACGATACAGTAAAGCGACGAAACATCTAGATTATTTTAGATTCAGTCTAATTTTAATCATATGAAGCGTAAAGTAACCACAATTTTCAAAACCAAGCCAACCATAAAAAGTTTAAGCTAGAACAAAATTAAATTTATTCACACATTAATTTTTATCATTCCAAAATCAAAGGCTGAAATATGAACACAGTTTTTGAGATTAAAAACACAGATTTTTCTAACTTGACATTGAAAACACATAGCTCTACAAATGCAAAAAAAGCTTAAAACAATTGACAGCGTGGAAAATGTCCTAAGTTGGATTAGGAGACTTCGTCCTCATCGTTGCTCTCAGAACTAGAGTCGGAGTTTTCACCAGCTTCAGGGAGAGAAATCTGACTGGCCTCCGTACCTAAGGACAACCTGTAACATGTTTAATGTTGCAACATAATCTTGCTTATTAATATTTTATAATTTTACGGGCTAAAATTTACTATTTTTTATGGATTGAATTGTTAGAGTGGCGAGCGAAATTAACATTAGAACAATTCCTCCACAACCATCGATTTTGCTATTTTGTGCAGACACCTCAAAATTGATAAAATAAAACGATTCCTTATCCACAGTTCCACAGTTGTTGGTATGACAACTAGTTTCTTCCTTAGAATTTCATCAGGTTTTGAATGCAACCACATCGTCAATGTATTAATACATTGTGGCATAGCAATAGATCATCTGAAAAAAAGCTGTTTCCGTAACAATAATTGAAACTTATCATGTTTGTAAATAGTTTAAATGGAATACAAATTTATAAAACTGATTAAAGCTGTACAGGCTGGCCCGCACAGTCTATCACTGACTAAATAAAACTGACTGAATCATGATGTTTCTTCTTCTCTCCAGTGCCACCTGTATTTCAGTTTGTTTGCTCTTCTTATTTTATACTTCTTTGATTTGTAACTTTTCAATATATCAAATATAAAATTTGACTAAAAAGAAGTCTGATCATTTACATGGGTAGAATATTTTAGATTTGTAAATGGTAAATTCTTCTTTATCATCAAGCTTAAACCCTTTTGGTAATACTTCAACTATTTCCATGTTCTAGCTTATCAATAGATGTGCGATTCCGAAATTAAATGTTTGGCATAACTGGATAATCATGGATATTAGTGATCTTTTAGGTATTTTATGATTGCGATTTTGACAATTCTTTTAAGAATCTATTGGCATACCACAATTTATTAATATATTGACGATGTGGTTGCATACAAAATTACCTGACTGTGGTTGGATAAGGTAAATATTTTATTTTGTCAATAATATATTCCAACCAAAGGTCACAATGAATAATACCTCAAAACTGCTGTTAGACCTTATTAAATGTACCTATTCAACATGAGTGGAGATGATCCCTAGAGGGATGAGTGGGAGATGATTTCAACCTCTCTCACACTACGCTTACGACATAACATCCCAATCGACAAAATGTTTACCAACTTCTTTCATGGTTTGCCACATTTTTTTCCACAGAGTAGTAAGGTACAGCGAAAACATTCAATGATGCACTTAATTAGTGTCTAGCACTAGTCTAGGGGGGGGGGGTGTCTAGGGCAAAGTCCAACACTGCCCCTCTAGCAATCATGTACTACAACGCTCACGGTGGTTTTATTGATGAATTTTGGTAAATGATATTTGTATTTTCTCTTTACTCACGTAGTGTCTACACTCGAGTTCTGAGCAGACTGTTGTCTCCAGCTGGTTTCTTCTCTCAGACTTGCTATAGCTCCACACAAACTGCTGCCAACCTCCTTCAGATGAGAGGTATTCAGGTGGTTACCCTGTGAAATTCATTTACATTTTTCAGAATCAAATTTGGTTTTTGTCAGATACAACAAAACTTTCGTTACAGTGCTCGCCCACTAAACAAAATGAACCTTATCCAACGAAAAGAGGCTGTGATTTTTATAGTAAAATCAATATTTCACTATTACTAGTTACTTACTAGGTTTAAATCAACAATGTCTAAATAGACAGCAGTCAGTCAAAAACACAGCTGTAAAAATCATGTCTACAAAACAGACAATTTCAGAATAGTTAGGTATAACCTTTGACTATTTACACAACAAGAAATTCCATTCCAGTGTTTAATCAAAATCGTCCTAGTTGATATGAGCCACCGGCAGATTGTGTTGATGTAAGCTACTGACTTATGTCAAATACACCAACTTTTTTACCAAGCCAATGTGATGGAACGACCGATTGTGAGCTATAGCAACTGTTGTGGCCCATCAACTATGGGAGTAACAAAAAATAATAAAGATATATAAAATATAACTTTAGATACAGTACTAGCACATTCCTCGACTGCCTCACACAACTATGTTAGCTGCTGGTCCATATAGATGTAATGTCTACTACAGTATTCAATCAAGGCCCCACTAAAAAAACAGGCCATGCTGCAGCACAACACCACGTCAAAGTGGTGGATAATTGTACAAAAATCTTGCCATTAAAAAATCTGACAAACAGCAAGCTTATTTACCTAAAACATATAGGATATGACAGTGAATCTATCCACAAGTATGACGTCAAGGATCCTGCATACTGGCCTATTTTAATAGTGGGGCCTTGATCCAATAGTCAATGGTAATATTCAAAAAAGAATATCATAAAAATTATTGTATGAAAAGAATTACAAAGAATTACATGAATTTAGAAAGTTAATTGATTGCTTTTGAGATTTAGTAGTTATATTTTTACAGCACATCACAGTGAAGCATGCCTTCATGTCATACAAAATCCATACACTGGTTGCTTGTTCATCATCGGCTATCGCCCAACGGAAAGCACTCCAAGTTGATTGAATTTGTAGAACAGTGTGAATACTGCAAACTCTATCCTACAGTTATGGTAATGTTACGGATAGTTAAGAGTTTTGAATGTTTACGAACCTTGTAAATGCCGATGTCCCATCCGCAGAAGCTGCATTCCATGGTGTAGCTGCGTTTGACTCCAAACTCGCGCCACACCGAGACCCGAGCAGTCGCCTCCTTGTGCCTCTCAAAACCAAACTTGCACAGAGGAAGGGAGAATCCAGCACAGTAGTTCTGCATTATGTTTGGCAGAACCTGTAAAACACAGCTCCAGAGGGTCATGAAGGAAACCTTTATAAAAATACTCTTCTTTATCTTTGAAGTTAATGTATGTAAATCCATTGGCTAAACATATTCCTCCATAGATTCATCATCTTCATGGATCTGCTGAGGACATATTTGGTATGTTACCTGTATGTTCTGTATGTATGTTCTTCTGTATGTATGTTCTGTATAGTGGGTTATAGTTCTAGTTCTAGGCCATAAATAGTCAAATGTTCTATACTACAAAAAACACTCTTCTACTAATAACAACCACAACTTATGTAATTTCAGATTCTTGGCTATCAAATTCATTTCCTTGACAGTTTTGGGCCAATTGCTGGTAGTCCCACAGACTAAATTGCCTGGTAGAACTCAAGTTTATGTAAAAGCATAAGTATTATTCAGTGATGCAGATTGCAGACATTGTTTGAGAAAGTGAATAGCTTCACAATGGATATCAAAACTCACCAGATAGTCTAGGGGCTGATCAAGCTTGGCCCTATCCTGATACAACCAAGACTCCTGGTTGCTGCAGCCGTAGAGGAACACATTCTTACGCCTCGAGTGGCCGTGGATGTCACAGAACACATACGGAACTTTCTTCAGGACTTTTACACTGTAATCTATCAGGCCCTGAAAACAGTTCCAGATTTGGTGTTGTAGTATAGTGGATTTCAACAATACTTTTTAGATTTACTAGCTACCAGGTTTGAGTATATGTCTTTGTCAAAAAGTAACTACGCATATTATCAAAGCTAAAGGAGGATAATGAACAAATTTTGTTTGCAACACCATACATATAATCTTTGTCCTAAATAAAAACAACAAACGTCTTCTATCAATTAGGCCCAAATGTTTTCAAGAGTAGTTGCCAGAAACATTTTCTATAATTGAAATGTAATAAAAACAATTAACAACTTTAGCGGGTCTTTTATTACATTTGTTATAATTATTTTACCTCTTAGGTAGTGCGGGGTCCTCTGCAAACATTCAGAACTGGGCCCCCTTACTACTTCAAAGTTCTCCCCCCCCCCCCCCCAAATCGCCATTTATTATTGTTGCTATAGATTTTTGAGATCAATGCAGCATCCATTATCATCTTTCACAATTGCAGCAACAATGGCAATGATGATAATGATGATGATGGTAATGATTTTTAAAATTTGCATGGACTCCCATGAGTAATGCAATAATCTTGATCATGCTCATTCAGTGTTTTCAATTTTTTACTTGATACAATAACAGAAAATTAGAAGAAGCAGGGATTATTGGAGATTATTCAGATACAAAATTTGCAAATACTTTTAATAGGTATTTTTTTGTGTGTTTATGTCATAAGCGTGGGGCACCCAGAGGTGCGGGGCTCGCACCTTTGGCACATGCCTAAGGCCTACATCTTCATCAACAGAGTTCAGCTTAGTTATTTCATCAATTTATCAATAGCCCTGCCCGATAGAATATAGCAAAACTAAGTTTTTCTAGTATTATGCGAAATGACAGAAAGATATTATTGAAACTTTAGCATGCATCCCTCATATTAAGCTTACCTTGGTGTGGTATATGACAGGGTGCAACACTGGACTAGGGTTACTCCATCTGCGGTTCAAATCTTCATTGGTCAGTCCACAGCGATGGCTGCAAACAAAACTGATTTTAAGCTAATCAAACTTAAAAGGTGTTCGAGTTTTATTAGAGACAAATCAATCACGCTGAGACTTCTACGCAATTTGAGTGTGTTTAACATGACCTATAAATTATAAAAATAAAGAAGAATTGTACCTATACATTAAGAACATCCATGAAAAAGATATTTAGACTGAGACAACAGTTTCCTACAGTCATGAAATGAAATATTTGCACACTAAAACAACCTCAGGGAATAATGTAAAAATATTTTAAATGTTTTATGAAGAGATCTGCATTTTAAGAAAAATAAAATGTACCTATTCAAAATGTAGGACAACATTTTTTCAAATAAAGAGCTGCCATTTTAAAACGAATAAAAAATAATCAAATTCTGATGCCACCAGCATGTTTGTATTTACAAGAGATTTAAAATCATAATTTAACATATAGGTATTAAAGATTTGTGAGATTCGAACCAGTGAACCTCTGGTTTTGGTACATCTTGCATTTGAACAACATTTAAAATATTTCTACGTAATTCCTTGAGGTTTGTTTAGTGAGTGAAATTCAATTTCACCATTGTAGGACCAACTTTTTGTCTGAAATCAATAGTGGACACCTGAGGCCGGGGCCACACTCATCTTATCTCGCTGAATCTTTTCCACGGGCGTTACTCCTGGGTTTGAGATTGGTTACAAGATTCGCCCTGTGTATATTCAGCTACACCAAAAATGTGCTAATCTTGTTGAAAACAATAAACCCTAATCAGAATCACACCTTATAATGAACCTTGAAGAACACGCTAAACTCTATTCCGAAACCTTTTTACACATTACGTCAAGCTAGGCCTAGAGGGCCCCAACACATTCCATTGGTGATTGGTGAAATTCGAACCCGGTACCTCGAGGATCCAATCCCCACACTCTATCTCTAAACCAGCTCGTTCCCCAACCGTTTAAGCTGTAGAACTAACACCCTACAGCAAAACTGAGGACATTTTCAACACTATTCATCCACGACAGATTTGGGAGAACATTTCCAGAGGATGGACCGCAGACTGTGGCATCCGTTGATTAGTGGCAGATGGGTAAGATATTGTGTCCGCGTACAGCCCGTGTTGGAGGAATATGAAACACGTGAGTCATCAGCATTACGATGTGCGGGAGATGCGAGAACATCCGTCATACGTCGCCCAGGTGCCTACAACAGCCTAGGACACCGGATGTAGGCACTCGCACTGTAGCAGACGCTGCTAACCTGCTTGTCATAGTCTCGCCGTGTCCTAGAGTTGCGCTCACAGAATGTGAACAAGGAAAGTTGTGTCAAAGAGGGGCGGATGCTTGTTATGTATATAAAATTACGGCTATTATAGGTTGTAACTGTTTAAAATTAATTAGTCTACGTCTACATGTCTGAATGAGAACGCTATAAAGCCTCGGTACAAAGCAGACAATGTCACAGAAAATTTTTGAATGCAGAAAATATTGGAAATCTGGAACCATACTCGTGAACACTACTTAAAAAAACAGCAATACGGCAATTTCTCCTTAAACAACCTTGTGTATTTGTCATAAGCTCATTAGGCCTGGCCTACTCTTTCTGTCCAAGAACAACGAACCCGTGGCGCAAACCGCAGCGATTTTAACAGGCTTATTTTATTAGAAGCTCCGACGAAGTCTTCATAACCAGAACGTGTTCCTCAATCGATTGTAGGCACAGTAATTATTGCCAGAATAATTCCGGTTGACCCTACGAAATTTACATGTCCTTTTCGAAGGTTTCTTTCAGGCGAAAAACATTTATTTCAGAACAGTTGAAAAAAACAAATCTAAAAGAGGCATCCTTTGTGAGTTTTGCATAAACTCGAATTATCAAAACAATCTTCCTTGGACTTTTGGGAAAAAAGCCCCATATTTGTTCAGGTTCAGAGTAGTACCTTTAGGGGCGATGACTGGTCATTCACATGTTTTCGAAGCAATGTACCGGACACTGATTAGTGTCATGGCGATGACAAGTTTGGGGTAGGGGAATATAAGACGAAGGGGAAGAGGGGAAAAGAAGAAGAATCAGTCGTGACCTGAGGCCGATAAATCATACGTGGGGGCAATTAAACGTCGGAGGCGGCGTCTTTGGCGGGAACCCTGAGGAATAACGCGGGTAATTACACGGCCAACACGGGACAACAACAAAACAACGACGCCACAGACTGCATGCAAACACAGAACCCAGCTGTTGTACCTTTTGGTAGTGCGATCTGCTAGGCAAAATACTAATATCTATTACTTATTTAATACGCAAGCAGATGTTTTGTGACAATTACTCCTCCGAAACTACTGAACCGATTGTCATGTTTTTGGTGTCATTGGAAAGAGCGTAACGTGAAGTTGTGCAGGAAACTTTCTGTTTAAAGAAATAATGAGAGAGTGAGGCCATGGAGCCCTTTAAAGTTTCGTATTTCTCCATAAGATTAACATTGGAAACAAAAATTGTTATGAAACTCCAGCTGTTGTCAGAAATCAAAAGTAAGAAGAAGAGCATATGTTAATTGTAAACAGTCAATAAGTTTGCTAATTTAACAGTTTGCTGCAAACTTGCTGACTTCTTCAAACTTGAAACTCCTCCTTTATTTCTGGACCGATTTTATCGTTTGAGGTGTCAAATAATTCGTCTCAATTCGTAGTTTTGCATAAAGGTTTTAGAATTTTAAAACTCTTACCCTTAAGGGCACGAGACGCTCTCAAAGTTCGCATTTTCCCCCATAAGAATTACATTGAAAACAAATTTAAAAACAAAAACAGCTGTATATAAAATGAAACTCACCAGCTTTTTGGGAGTAAATATTGATGTTTGTAATATTTAGGAGGTTATAGACAAATCTAAACAGTCAATCAATTTTGTTGGAAGAACAGACAATTCATGAGTTTAAAGGAGAAATATTCAGGAGGAGGAGACAATTCATACGAAATCTTATGCATATGAGAAGAGTAGAGGAGAGGCCTGGTCTCACAGTCGGGAATCCAGGTACACAATCTTGGGGAGATGAATCATTTTTGCCACATTTTTGCCAGTTATGCTAAGCAACTTATTTTGTAAGTAAAAAAAAAACATTGAAGAATATACACAGCATGTTGTCACACTGGTAAAGTAAACCTACCTCAAGTCAGATCAAATAAATACATGCAAAAAATGTTTACTGGTAACAGCTTTAAGTCGGGAAACATTTGTAGAAAACACTAAAAAATAAGGCTGGGTCCAAAAAATGCTAAACTATTTTTACAAGAAGCGTTTATTATTTCAAAGCGCTATTAAATAGTGTGAGTATTACAATTAGTTACACAAGCATTTTGTCGGGTCTTTTAAACTCATCGAAAATTATGACTTTTATTACTGTAGTTTTAAAATAACTTCTGTATAATACCGGTACTTGACAATTGCTCGATTTCGAGCAACAGGTACACTAGTTTATGTATATTGAATGTAAAATATTATCACTGATACCTGGACAAGAATGGTATCATTATCTTTGTGGTCCGTGAGATTAACAAAATCATTTAACTATTACAAGCAAGTGAATGAACTTTTGAAGTGTCGCTTTCCTAATTATTTGCATTTTTCCAAACGCAATTCATGTGTGGCTTCATGGCTCGCATTTCAAAATGTTGCCTAGGTATTGTAAGAAACGATTACACAATCGTAAGAAATTTAGGCAAAACAGAGAATTTAAGTATGAGAAATCTAGGTAAAAAAGGACAGTTCCTCTCATGAGAAACCCACGCCAAAAAGACGATTTACCTTATAGGAGCCTAGTGCAACAAAGATGTCCTCTTTCCACTGCAATTATGCATCTACACATGCCTAAACTGGTCATAAAACTTCTTAAAAATTATGTCGAGTGAGTTGGGTGGTGGTGTGCAGGTTAGTAGAACCACAACATAACACAGAGATACAAACTTTACTTTCATCCAACGTTCTTTAGCAATCAAGCCCCACACTGCACGTCGTGATAATTGATTATTCCATGAAATTGAAACTAATAACATCTCTTCCCCTTCCCTACAACCAACCTGGGGTTCGCTAGTTCACGTTCGCACTCATGAATCATTCTACAAGATACACAAAGAGTCCACGAAGTGTCAAAATAGTTTTGAAGCTAAACAAGGAGATAACACGACATTTACAAAAGGTATACTTCATTAGAGACAAAGAAAACAGATTTGGAAAAGAACTCATATAACAACACCCTTTTAAAAATTTCTTTTAAAATATAAATTGCATAATGTATAGCTTCGAGCATGTAAACTTTTTGCACAAACTTTACAATATTCTTAACTGTATTCAAATGGTCTCAAAAACCCCAAATTAGTAGATATTTTAGCCAGTTAAAGGAGGTTGACGGTTGTCATGCAAAAAAGTACAGACTTTAGACTTGCGTGAATCAGTCTCCTAACTGACCAAAAAAATTAAGCATTCATTGAGGTGTACAATTGCCGAAACCCCCTGCTCATCCTTTCTGACCCGCTTCGAAAATGATGTCAAGCAATAGAATTTCCTACAAATCCCACATTCTCTAAACGTGCGCAGTAGGTGGGGCAGCCAATGCATGTCTATTGTCTAGGTGCATCCGACGCACTAGCGCATTCTAGACTAGTCAACTGGCCGCGTTGTAATTCCTCATGCGTAATGCGGTAATACGCACTAGCGGGTTTGGTGCGCCTTATACGCAAGTCACTTGCTATGAGTCCAAGTGCGGCGCCTTAATATTGCATTATTTATGTACACAAGCGTAGGTAGAATTCTATCTTTCGTAAATATTAACACTATGAAAAGTCTCAACGCTACACATTAAATTATTCCGTCAGCAAACGAATACTGTAGTTGGGGTGCTCAGTAAATGCAGTGCTCTCCTATACTCCGTCCACAAAATGTTGGCGGTTTGAGGTGAAGCGATTTCATCCCCTCCACTGCACCATAAGTAAACAACAGCTGATCAGCTGATATACACATTAGGC